ATTTCAGCTGAGATCAGGGCATCAATCTCGTTCGCAGAATTTGCCCTATTCATTCTTTTAGCAAATAGCAAGATATGCACGTGAGGGAGTCCTCTTTTTTGAAATTCAATCGTGTAGATAACTGCAAAAAGAATCCAAAAATGAACAATTCAAGTTTATAAAGGGAAGTTAGAGTTGATGGTGGCAAATTCAAATATGTATAATTTTCAAATACCTCCACATATCTCGCCAAACACCTTGTTTGTTTTGATGTCTTCAATCATCGCATCAAGCTTCATCTTAAACACGCGACAAATGATGTCAGGTCTATCCTCTGCTTTAAGGCCACGGTGTGAAACATACCGCTCAATCTCAGGCCACTTTGGGTTGCTGGTGAATGTAACGAATATGTGTGGATAACCGATGTATTTGCATATTGCCATTGCATCTTGATAATTCTGAATCATATACCTAGCTCCACCTATGAATGTTGATGGGAGTATAATTCTTTTACCCCGAGCTGTGGGGTCTAATTCTCCTCTTGTTAACGCATCACTCAACCCCTGATAAGCTTCACATCGCAATGCCTTCTGATGAGTTCTAATGTATACCAAGCGTGCAGATTCGATCATTGTATATGCATCAACCAAGAATTGTTGGAATAACCTCCTAGAATACAACAATGTATGCTTCTCATTCACTTTCTCATGTATATAAAATGAGAAATACTCTTTGGGGCTAATTCTTATCCTGCCACCAGGATGATGTTCGCGCCATGCATCAGAGAATATAATATCTTCGCGGTAACCATCTTCGCCGTAGGGGAACAACAAAGGGTACTGTAACGGCAGATATGCAGGGTTCAATTGATTTATTCTCTTCAATTGCCCAGTCCTGGTCTCAATCAATATGTCTAAATCACCCATTAATGGGTCTAGATCCCCGACAATAAGTGTAGCTACCTCATGAGGAGTAGGTAAATTGTAGGTCCTTCCATCTTTGCTCCGCTTGCCTATTAAATTCATCTTAACCTCAACAACTGGGTTAGATTGGATCTTAGTTCTTGCCATTCTGAAACAGTTGACCAAGACATTATTTTGGTCTAGCATATTCTTTAATTCGACAACAATCTCTTCATTGATATCCCTTGAGTTACTATCCTCTCTATATAGGAAAAATAATGGGAATAGATAAATAATAGTTGAATATCTAGGTGGAATGCAAACATAAGAGAGTATGTATTTGTTATTTACCTGACAGAATTGATGCGATTGTTAATCTCATTATCTGTGTCGTAAATATATAGTTGCGCAAATTTTGGGATCGACCCTTCTGTTGGAACCAAGCTTCCAATCAAGTGATAATTTTGACCATTAATCTTAAACACTGGAGGAACATTACCGGTGTTGAGGGACCTATCGACTCTACCGCCCAGAGACGTGAAGCAGAACATGTTGTTATACCTTCGAATATTATTGAGGAAGTGTCTACTCCGTTCAATATCATCAAAGTAAAGGCTCTCGAGCACACGAGGAGGATCCTTCATGCGAGGTAATTGGATTTTGCCCTCATAGCAACACTTTGTGTATTTTGGCAATGTGCGTGATACATTTTGATTTGAGCGCTCTTTCCACCAAAATAAAGCCCCACAATAATTACACGAATGAGCCGCATCTCCAAGGTCAAAATAATGATCTGGTAACGTAAATAGCTTATAATTAACAAACATTATTTATATTTTGAAAAAATGAACAGAAAAAACGTTTGTATTTAGAGCAAAGAAAACTGACCATATCCATTATTTTGAGTCTCAACCTGTTCGAAATCCATGTTTAAATTCCTCTCATTTGTTCATGACGATGACCTACTGGAATTTCTTATAATTGACCGCGAAACACGATTACGCCCACTATGCGCTTCTCTTTGCACTTTAATAAAATACAATGAATTGTTAAAAGTAATTTTAAGTAATTGAAAAAATTGTAAACACACATTGGGAGTAACAAAAGGCAAAATGCATGAACAGTGAAGTATAAAGTACCGTTCGTAACATCAGCTAATGGATGGCGTGATAGAGACGCTGAAGTTGGCATATTTAGCATATTCAATGAACGTTCATTGGACGGTGAAAACATGGTACACATATTAACTGCAATTTGTTTTATTCAAACATATATAACATCACATTAATGGTATAGAATTTGTTTTTATTCAAACATATATAACAACAAACTTATCATATACAACAAATGAAGAAATAAATAATGAACAAATAAAGAAAATTCTTACAATTTGTGACGACAGTGGAAGGTGTGAAGGGTCCAATTGTATTGTTCAAATCATATAAACTTAGGTTGCTAGCAACTGCAATTTTTTGCAAAACAAATAATGGCATCAAATAAAGACAAAATAATATTAATATGTAAAAGTATTTAAAATTATTGAATATATAAAATAAGATTAAAATATTGCTTTAGTCGAGATGAGAAATAGAATAATTTGAATATAACATATACCATTTGTGATTGTATTTAATGATGTTGCTCCAGTTTCCACATTATTCTCTTTGAGTGGACTTTGATGAACATTAACTGCAACAATTTAATCGAACAAATAAATCAAAATTTGCATATAATTTAACCTATTATGTTATATTATATTTTTGAATAGTAGTACCTTGGTTGAGTATATTAATAGGTGTTGATGGAGAGCAAACCGTAAATCCACTAAACAATGCTTCATTACCAGCTACTGCAATTATTTATATTCAGGGAGAAAAATTTATGACTGCGTTTTATACAGAAGAAAATAAACACGTAGACTATTATAAAAATAAATTTGCTCACCATTAAATCTCGGATGAACTGGATTAAATGTTGAAGAACCAACAGTTGTTTGTATTACCACCTCATTTTCTAAAAAAAAAAAAAGAAAAAGAAAAAAAAAAAAAAAACAAACAAACAAAAACGATCACATAAGACCAAAAAAACACTCATTTTTCATTATTTAATTAAAATTACACCTAAGACTATCTCACGCCGATTAGAACGCGTGGCTCTAATCGGCGTCACTGGGATTTTAGGCAACAACCTCGCCGAGTTCCTCCCTCTCGCACACCGGCCACCGTCACCGCACACCGGCCACCGCAATCGCACACTGGCCAGTGGCCACCGCTACCGTCCACCAGACCTGATGAACGGACAAAGAACCAACCATGGTGCAAATTCTCTCTTTCTCACAGTAAGTTTTTCAGCCTCTTTTAACTATTTGGTGACATTAATCCATTCGTTTTTCATCTCTTTTTTTTTTTTTACGTATTCCATTCCGAATTCGTTTAAACCCTTTAATTTTGCAATCGTTTGTCCCCAATTTGAGAATGCATGCACGGGTTATCAGATAATTGAATCCCGTTTCTCAATTTGAGAAACACAAGTCTAATTTCTCAAACTGAGAAATTCAAAACTGGATTTCTCAGTATGAGAAAACCAAGTCCGGAGTTCTAAAGTAAACACTAAACAGATAATAAAGAAAATAATGAGTGAAACAGTATATAATGAGATTTAATTTTGGCTCTAACCTTGATCCGTGGTCTTTTGCTTCTTCCTGCCCCTTACAATTGTTGATTCTGTGAGTTTCCTCATTATGTTGTTTGTGTGAATTGTGAAAAACTGATGCTCACAAGAAAATAGAAAGATCATAGTTAATTTATAGTTAAGTAATAGGATTTGTAATATTGTCCTATCCTATTAGGAATAAAATTTTTAATGTATAATAATTGTAGTACGAATAAAATATGAATAATATTGATTAATTGGAATAGTGACGAATAATGTTTTTATTTAATTTGGAAAAAAATGTTATCATGCCTTTTTATGGTGGTTGGTTTCAGACTAGCTGACTGCATCTAGGGCCCAAAAAACTTAAAGTTTGATGACTAAATAAATTCCATGGTTGTTTTGTTTGTTTTCTTTTCCCTCTGGAACAAAAAATAAGCCACAGAGAATAATTCTATTTGTGCATGTAGTTTGATGGCTAAATAATGCTTTAATGGTTATTTTTTTTGTTTTCTTATTGTGTACAGGTATTTGCTCCTAAACTTCAAGAGACATTTGCTCTAGTTTCTGGTTACTGTGAGCAGAACGATATACATTCTCCTCATATTACAGTAGAAGAATAGGTTATCTTTTCTGCTTGGCTGCGACTTCCTCCAGAGATTGATTCCAAAACCAAATCTGTATCGCTGCCCATTTCTATGCTACATATGGATTGTTCTATTCTCTTCTGAACCATTTTATATATATAACTCCAACACGATTGTCGTTGGCTCTGTAGGAATTTGTGAAGGAAGTCATCGAGACAATTGAACTTGACAGAATAAAGGACATGTTGGTTGGCATGCCTGGTATCAGTGGTCTTTCAACAGAGCAACAGAAGTGGCTCACAATTGCTGTGGAGCTTGGCTCAGCCATCTCATTCCTAGATGTGGATCATTTTCTAAGTCTTTCCTCTGAAGTGAGAATTAGTACAAGTTTACAGATTGCCTATTATTATAATTATAAGTTTAATGTTGTTTGATGAGACATCTATGTGGTAGTTTCTGAATCTCTGCTTGCCAATTTTGAATATGTTGATTCGAAGAACTTCTTACATTTGATAAATGATGCACTTGCTTTAAGTTTTCACATTTCTTTTTGGACAATTGTGTTTGCACTTAAATTTCTGTTATCCTTTCTTGGTTAGACTTCACTGGATTCCCCACTCTCTATTATTATCTGCATCCTCTTGTAATTCTTTTCTTAAGTTGTGAACCATACTCTATTGCGTGATATTGTTCATATCATTCATATCATTATGTTAATGCATTGTTTTTGTCATTACAGCTAGAGGAGTTTTGTAAGAAGAGAGCAGCAGATCGGGCTAAAAAGGCATCATCAACTAATCAAATCCATGAATGATATTGAAAAGTTTTCAATGCCAGAAAATGATAGTAATCATTCCCAAAAAAAAAGGGTGAAAAGATGCTTCAACAAATCAAAAGCATCAAGAGGTGGATAATATCAGTGGGCATTTTGCATGATATGTGTTTATTTGTTGAGTATGGAGAAGAAAATTTAGATTTGCTAAACTGGCCTGGCCAATGTGATCTAATTTCATATAATTTAAAAACTGAAAACATTTTGCCTTATGTTGAAGTATTTTGAGAAACTGTTTTAAAAACTTTGATGCCTGCATAAGCAAGCTATTTAGATTTAGTAAGAATTGAGAATTCAATGTGAGAGGTCAGTTAGTGGCTATCAAGATTCCAACTACAGCAGTTAAATTGTACGATTGGTTCTTACTTGAGTTGAATGATTGACAATAGAGCTTCTTCTTCTTCTCCTCTTCCTCCTCCTTTTTCTTTATTTTATTTTATTTTATTTTTAGAGAGCCTTACTTCTCTCTCATGTTAGTATAGAAATAACATTTTTATTTCTTTTCCAATAATTATATCCTAGGTAACATTCAAGCCCAACCAAGTAGTTGACAGTATGAAGTTGATGCATTTCTCTCTAAGTGATTGTAATTTTTTTTTTTCTGCTTAGATTTTGTTGCAGACAACTGGTAATGATGATCATCATTCATGTGTTTCTGCTGGATCAGTGCCTCAGATAAAGGAGTAAGTTTATATGACACGTCAATCTGGAAAATATATACTGTCTGTGGATATTAACTATTTCTATTTTAAATGTTTAACACAGACCTCGTAAAGTTAATGAACAGCCTCATATAGTGGATGATACGTTGACCCTTACTTTTGGATTCTGGATCAAGTCTCTCCAGTTTACATAAAAATGTCGACACAGATGTGCCCAAAGATATCTTAGTTAATTCATCAAAACCCACTCAGGGCCTTTCTTGTTCAGCTGTGGACAATGCTGAGGTGACCGCATCATCTACCTCTCACACTTCCACAGGGACAGTGTCAAATTATAGATCTGAATATCTCAGAATTGCCTGATGAGAAGGCAAACAACAGAGATTCCCTAACTTTGGACCTATCAATTCCATTGCGTGGTATGTATTCGACATTTGTGTTTTATTAACCCTGGAAAGAATCTTACTAAGATATAGAAAAAAATTGAATTGTATCTTCTCATTCCTAGATGTGGATCATTTTCTAAGTCTTTCCTCTGAAGTGAGAATTAGTACAAGTTTACAGATTGCCTATTATTATAATTATAAGTTTAATGTTGTTTGATGAGACATCTATGTGGTAGTTTCTGAATCTCTGCTTGCCAATTTTGAATATGTTGATTCGAAGAACTTCTTACATTTGATAAATGATGCACGTGGCCAGCTTGACTGATTTTTCTTCACAAGAACGTGGTTAACAAGAAGAACAATCGTTTCCACCATTCACCAACCGAGTATTGATATATTTGAAGCTTTTGATGAGGTAATAAGTAATTGTTAATAAACATATATAATTTAGAAAGCATGAGAAGATGAAAATTGGTTTCTTTGAATTCAATACACTTAACTTCCATATTAAAAACACAGAATAGGCGAAAAAACATGAGTGACGAAATGATTTATTTCTTATCGTATATAAGCTAACAGTTATGCTGAAGTTTAATGCCTAACAGAATAAATCATCTGTTAAGCATTTACTCTACTTAAACAAACTAAAAAAGACAAACATGGTCTAATAGTGTGGAAATAGGAAATTAATTTTTGGGCTCAATCTTAGGCTTCTTCATACCCTTTGAAAATGATGAACAATCTACATTTGTTCTCTTTAAACACTGCTGCTCGGGAGTGCTATCATCAACCAAGATGACTCCTGGGAGTGACGAATATGTAGCTTCCAGTGGTGGTATACGCTGGATGAAACTAATTATTAAAATATGAGGTGGAAAAAATATTATTGAAAGAGGTAGAAACATGTTTAATGAGGACTTACTTGTTCTAAATTGTCATTGAATTCAGTTTCATCACCAAGCTTCTTAACCGCTATTCCTTCATCACCTTTCTTCAGTAGTTTGGCTTGATAAGTTTGCACGATATCTTCGTCTTTTTCCACTCTAAGCACGGTAAATGAAGCATTACCACTATATTTAAATTGGTCCTTCCGTGTGACAATCCTAAACATCATTGTCTTCCAAATCAAGCTTTCAATTTCATTAGGCAAGAAACCATCCTAGGTCAACCAAAATAGATAAAAACAAAAAAAATTATACACGGGATAATATTAATATATTCAAATCGAATAGTTGATTGCTAAGATATATGGATTCACGTACTTCAGAATGTTTTTCTAACAACTTGCCAGCAGTAATTCCTAATAGTGTCGAACAAATATTGTCCCAAAGTAGAAGATAGCCATCCTGGTCATCATCCAGGACATCAATCACCACTTTGTACTTAATTATTCCGTCTGGTCAGTGTTTATCTCATGCCTTACAATACATTCTGTCGGTGTAGTCTGAAGCTTCCTCCCACACCCCTTACTCTTACAGGCCTTGAAGTACCATTCACTTTCTATGCCTAGAATTTCTCCAAGTACCCAAAATTCACCGACCTAAAAATCAATTACACAATACTTGAGAAATATAATGAGTGTCTTTTCAAATGGTTTCAATACAAACTCTAAATCAATAATTTTTACCTTCTTGTCGTCATAAATATCCTTCAAAGAAGTAATTGTGACATTTTCACTCGATAAAGCCTTCAACGATCCAGATCCAGTCATTTTTGAACTTGAGCTTATACTTCGTATTGGAGTAAAGAACCTAGGCATACTGATTTAAACGGATTATCCGAAATCATCAAATTGTTTGAAATACAATATTATACGAAGTGGTAAATTTTAAACCGACACAATACCTCTCCTTGAAATTGAGCAATTCAGGGCACTCATGGTTGAACAGAATCTTTGTTGCAGTTTAGGAACTGGATATTCTAACCTCATCGTCTAGTATGATAAACAATTTTAAATTTTAAATTTTAAATATAGTTAAAATCGAATCAAATAAATTTATGTCTGCCACTGAGTAATTACTTACCATCATTCAACCTGGCTCTACATAGTTGTAGTATAACAATCAGTGGATCTGTCAAATCAGCATTATAGTAAGGTAAGACAGAATCCACATGCTCCTCCCACAGAGTAATTGTGAGCCGACTCCCCCTGAGTGAACAACAATGAACATGATGACGACTAAATTTATACTTAAACAAATTAAAAAGGTCATCTAAACAAATACATACCGAGAATCTTCAATGACAAAATCAATCAACCTTTGGAGTTTTGAATTAACTTGGATAGTTTTTGGCTGAGTAATGGAAACTATACGGCCAATCAAATCTGCGAAAACCAAACAAAAGATTTTAAATTGTCATTCATACTATTAGAAATTTAGTATAACAAAAACAAATGAGAACACATCTAGTATAGAACAAAATTTAAAGAATAACTTACCAATTAGCCGATTGCAATCCACTCCTCCAGGAGCTTTCAACGATCCAAAATCTTTAAATTTGAACATGTATTTGGGAAAATCATATTCATCTAGATCTGTGACGCTGATCAAAGTGTCATTGTTCACTTTCATCATGTACTTATGCTCACACGACTTAAACTTCATGCGACATGTTTGCACAACGAAATTGTGAATATCATACACTTCCCCTTCCTTTAAGAGCTTGTTGAATTTTAAAACAAACTCTTTAGGAATTTGTAAATGAATGCAAGTTCCCTGAGGAAGATCATGTCATTCGTACATACATGTAATGTGAATTTAAAAACTAAGCCACCAAACATAGTAAACAATATGATTATAAAGTAAACATTATTGATGTTATGTTTTTAATATATATTTTATATTTTATTTAATTTTTAATATTCACTAAAATTTTTTCAAACATGGGCGGGAGAAAGAAATCTGGGGGTGTTTGTATTCCTACTAATTTGAACGAATCGAAGGATCTCACGCCATTAGTTTGCCCCCACATCAATCCGAATTGGGAGTGCCACAAACCAGACAAAAAAATGCAATAATGTGCTTCCGTAGAATCCACATCAATCAATTCAATATTATATTCATACTAACTCATAAACTAATAATAATAACAAAATAAAGAATTATTGCGTTTTATTAAAAAAGCGTAGAGCATGCAAAAAATTAATAAGATTATAAGATTATCAACTCCACCAGAAATAAACATGTACTATAAACCGCTGAACTATAGTAATTATATTCACCTGGGAATCATGGAATAAGCATTCCACTGTTTGTTGGTTGATTGTGGAACGTGGATATTCCCTTAACAAATAACAGCGCATCAACCGGAGTCTTATACAACTTTTTCTTGTCTTTGGGGATAGGCTGGAAGCAGAGACAAAAATAGATTCCATTAGTATTTACTATTTGAAGAATCGAACGAAAATTCCTTCGCAGAATCGAAAGTATTATATGGAGGTGTTGAATTGTGTGGGCAGATTATAAGATTTCTAGTATTTATAGTGTCAGATTTATTTGTATTCTCCTATTGTATTACAAATAGGGATTTTAATGTAGAATTATAATACGAATACGATTGTAGGAATTTTAAAGTAGAAAACAATATATTTTATTTGAAATCTAAATCTTTTGTGCGTTCGGAATGAATATATTGTCCTATTGTATTATAAATAGAAATTTTAATGTAGAATTATAGTACGAATAGGAAAGCGTTCGGAATGAATATATTGTCATATTGTTCGGATAATTAGGGTTTCGTATTACAAATAGGAATTTTATTAAGAATTGTATTGTATTATTTTATAATATTTGAATACCAATTTTAATATAGAATTATAATACGAATAGGAAAGTAGAAACCAATATATTTTATTAGGAATTGTATTAGACTATTTTATTAGGAATTGTATTGTATTATTTTACAATATTAGAATAGAAATTTTAAGAATTGGGCGGGAAATTAAAACTTTAGGATTTTGTTTTTATATATAGTATAGATTATTATTATTATTATTATTATTATTATTATTATTATTATTATTATTGGATATTTGAGTATAAAATTGTCTTTGAATGTGACAATGAAGATGTTATTGCCTTCATTTAATGCTATTTAATTTGTAACAGTTATCATAATCATGTTTCAATGACTACTTTGACTAGGTCAATTCAATTCATTGCTTGGACTGCCAATGTCCCTTAAGCCTTTGATGGGCAAATTATACTTTGGACCGTGGTTCACAATGTATTGTGGTTTAAAAATTAAAATGATGTCTTTTCTTTTAATAATGAAAAGAAATCGCACATGTTTTCGCGACGTCTGCAAAAAGTAATTTTAATTGTATAACATATTTAGTTTCATTTTGTATACACTGCAATTTCATTTCAATACAATTACAGCTTCATTTCGATATAACTACAGTTTCATTCGATATTATACACTCAAATATGTGAAACTGTTACTCAGTTTCATTTTATATACACTATAGTTTTATTACAACACAACTACATTATCATTTTGATATAACTACAGTTTCGCTGGACAATATACACTCAAATATGTGAAATTGTTATTCAGTTTCAGTTTTTATACACTATAGTTTCATTTCAACACAACTACAATTTCATTTCAATTCAATTGCAGTTTCATTTGATAATATAAAAATAATACGTGAGGCAATGTCAGTTTAAATACACTGTAGTTTCATTTGGTAATTAACACACAAAAAATACACGCTCCATTAAGCTTTAACTGATGTCGTTTCTTTACTTAAAACACTACT